TTTTTTTTTTTTTTTTTTTTTTTTGGGGGGGGGGGGGGGCAGATGAGAAAGACGGGAGGGAAACAAAACAGACGAATGTTCCTGGGCACGGACAGGGGAGTCGGATAGCTCCGAAACCATCCCCGACACTCACACGAACAAATGCAGCCAGCGTAAGTATCGAGAGCGACGACGCATCGCCCTCGTCACTCTCTCCAAACAGCAACCGCCCCCCCAAAAGGCAAGGAGCAGCGGGCCTACCACAGCAGTCTGCACAGCCTTCCTAGAACATTAAATGCCGGTGTGCGCGGTCAGTTCTCACATCCGCCAAGACGGTCACCAGCTGGGAAAATACTCCCTGATCCTGGCACATCACGAGCCCGCTGTCCGGAACCGAGATGTCAACGTAGTCCTTGACGGATGCCCTAACGTTCGTCTTGATGGGGCCGGGTCGGGGCGGGTAGGGTCGGGGTCAAAATCAGGCAGGCAGCCGGCAGAGTAGGCACGGAGGACCGCAAGCCGCGGCGGCGGCGGCGGCGGCGGCGGCGGCGGTGGAGGGGGGTACCCATGAGCATCACCTCGTCTTCAAACATGGGGTTTTTCTTGGGTCGTTAGCAGAAGCTGGTCGGAGTGCCTCAGCCACCCTCAAGATTGGCGCTCGCCCAACCAGACCCGCCCTTGTACTGACAGCCCTTGCCGTCTTCTTTGTTTTTGGTGTCCTGCGCGCTGCAGGGAGGCCGTTCCAGCCCAACAACCTGGGTGGCCTACAGCGGCAGTCTACATCTCACCCACACAAAAAATCTGATTGCATGTGTTGAGTCGATGTCTACATCTCATCCACAAAAAACCTGATTGTTGTATGCAGAATGCGTTCTCCAGAAGCTTAACGGAAAAACAAGAAAAATCTCCCCGCGGGGCTTCAAGGAAACGTGTTCCAACCAAAGAATGGCGGCGAAACCACGAACACTTGACACCCCCGGGAGTGACGTGGGTTGCAAACGGAAGCGCTGGGTTAGTTGGGTCTCAAGTATTGAAGCGACGGACAGGAGATGACATAAGACGATGCCACAAGGTCGAAACGAAAATCGAAAATATGCGCAATCACCGCGTATTTGGCGACGTTCTCGCCCTCCTTCCATTTGCAGTGGCAGAAGGTCAGCTCCGCACCCGTGCTGCCTTCGACGTCTATGGGTGACTCCCCGCTGCAAGCAAGACAACGAGGAAATCATCAGCATCATCATCATCATCATCATCATCATCATCACGGCGCTACTGCAGAATGGGTACCAGTACAGCATGTTTTTGTGAATCGAAGGTGTGCCCGACATATAATCTCAAATTGTGTGTATGGGTCCTAGATCAATACCATTATAAATAGCCGTAGGTCGTGACGACGTCCGTGGCCGGTAGGCAGCACCACCTCACCAAAAAACCGGACACACGAAGAAGCCGCATGCCACATCACACCGTGGCGTAACACACCCCAAAGAAAGGAAGGAAGGAAGAAAGGAAGGAAGGAAGGAAGGGAGGAAGAGGGCCAGAACAACGCAACAAAGCATGGAAAAGTTCTTGTTTTCTTCTTTGAGTTTTTTGCTGTTTTTTTTTGCGACGGTAAAGAAAACACACGGGAATTTGTTTTGGAGAAAAAAAAACACCGGGGAGGACACACCGCAACACAACACAGAGAGAGTCAGCAAAGAATAACTGAAAGCACCACGAAAAAAACACAAGAAGCGAGAAAGATAAAAAGCAAGCAAGCAAAAGAGGGAGGGCGCACACACTTCGCATCCATCCGCCCACCACCACACAACGGAGCCCTGCAGCAGCAGCACACATCTGCGTCCAAGTGAAGGAGGCAACAACACACGCTCGACCCACGACCGTTCCCGTTCACCGCACACAGAATCCCTACAACCTGTCCAAGAGAAGGAAGGCACACACACACACACACACACACACACACACACACACAGCGAAGCTCCCCACCCACCTGTAGCAATCCGCGTCGGAGGGCGCGGTCGGGATAACTCCGTCCCCCGCGCAGTCATCAGCCGAGAGGTCCGCCACCCCGAGACCCCTGCCCCCGAAGTTCAACGCCGCTGAGCTCGTAAACCGTGCTCCCCACCAAGATCGCCGAGGTTCCCGCAGCTCGTTTCCACCACCTCGGAGTACTCCCCCTCGACCTTCGCAACCTGCCCGCCGTCCGACCGTCCGTCGTTCGGTGAGCAGTTGCAGAGTACGGCGGTAGTTATCAACAACAGAGACACGTGAGTTATCGGGAGAGGGGCGGGGGGGGGGGGGCAAATACCAGCAACGATGATGACACTACCACCTTCTGCTTCTTCCTTGTGATGTGATAGCCTGGGCCAGCGAGAACCCGGCGCCCCCGTCGTTCCGTCCCGGCATAGTACGGATGCGAGTTGACTGTACTATGGGATACGTTTA